AACTCATATAATCAACTGGAAAAACAAAATTTAAATATAACATAAATGGAATTAAAACCACGTTTACAGTCAAAACCTTCCCTTCAAATAATAAAACTCTTTCATTCCAATCTTTTAATTCACCTTACTCACTACTCTGTTTCAACTTTCTATCCCTTTCATGTCCTCATCAAAACTTACTCCTAAAATCTCAATTGCATCCTCCTTCACAGGCCATCCACACAATTCTAATTCATTCCATCTTCCAAAAGCCTTACATACACATTTATTCCAATTTACTTTAAAACTGCTCGCCATACAAAAAATATCGACCAATAGTTTAATTCTTCTCAACCCTACTTGAGTTCTGCACACCACTGTCACATCGTCCATATACCCAATCACTTTAAATCTCCTTGCACTACTGTCACAATCTTATCTTTACTTATGCTTAGAAGTAGCAGTTAAATCATACAAATAAAACGAATGGGGGACAAAGGACATCCCGGTCTCACCCAGCAATGTAAATAAAAAGCCTCAGTCATCCATCCATTCACTTGTACCACACTTTCAATATTCACATACAAACACTTAATCCAATTTAATATAAACGGTACAACCATTCTCTCCAAAATTTTAAACATAAAGTCATGTGCTACCCTATCATACACCTTCTCAAAATCAATCGTAGCCACCGCTACTAACTGCTTCCTCTCCATACAATCATAAAACCTCTTACACCTATCAAACTCTCAGCAATCTATCTCCCAGGTACTGCACAAATTTGTTCTTCTCCAATCATATCCTCAATAACCCACCTCATTCTGTTTACTATCAATTTAGCTAAAATTTTATGATCCGAATTTAACAGGGTAATTGGTTTCCAATTTTTTAGTTCCAATTTATTTCCCTTTTAAAAAATTAAAACAATCACACGATTTCTCATTGATTCAGTCATCTCACCCTTATGCAAAACACATTTACACACTTCTAAAAAATCACTCAATCACTTCCCAACACATCCTATAAAACTATCGGCAAACCATCACTTCCTGGTGTCTTATTTAACTTAAAGGTGAATTAGATAAAGAAATAGATAAACAAAAAAGTTGTGGGATACAATTAAAAATTTTATCTTCTTCCTTAATACCCCTATCAATTTTCCCTAAAAATTCCTTTTCCAAACTTAAATCATTTTACAAAAACTTGTATTCATGTAAAGATAGGGATGTAACTTCCTGTAACATTAAAACCCTATCATTTATAACCATTCCTTCTTCATTTAAAACACCATCCATACTTTTATTTACATTCAAACACTTTTTTAAAGAAAAAACTCGTACACTTCTCATCCTGTACTAAAACATTCAGCTTTGCTGCAAACACTGCCTTTCTTCCTCTTTCTTCCAACCATTTTTTCTTATTTTCCCTAGCTTCTTCTAAATCAGCCTTTACATCATAACCCAAATCACGCAATCTACATAAATAATCCACTCTCTTACTCCATTCATCAAAACATTTTCTTTCCCGCTTAGCTCTTTCATACTCACACTTTATAAAGAAACTTTTGTATTCACTTTTACCCATTCCCACCATTCCGTTATACAAAAAAATCCTTATGTTCACTCCATTTTTTTTTTTTTATACATTTTAAAATATCTTTCTCTCACCTCATCATCCATTAACATTTTCACGTTCAATTTCCAAACACCTTTTCCAAACTTCATTTTCATATCCACGCTCTCCATACATTCCAGGATTACATGATCTGAAAATGGTACTTTGTGCATAGCAAGTTGTTCTGCTATAACCCCTTGATATCACCGTGCCTTTATCACTAAAAAACAAAAAAAAACTCACTACCCTTTGTGACCTCCATCATATCTTTATACCCAAAATCTCTTACAATATTTTTAAAACTTTGTCCTGTACTATCCAATTTATAATTGTCTCCACTCCCCACCCTATCTTCCTTTCTTAATATACAATTAAAATCCCTGATTAAAAATGTAAATTCCCTCCAAGGTAAATACATTCTCAATGAAACATATCCATTCTTTTTCCACTATTTACTGGTGCATAAACATTAAATACTCTACTTTTTGTTCAGGGGTACTTTATTTAAACAATCAAGTCTCCCTGACACAACCTCCAACACCTTAACTATTTCAAAATCCCACCCCCTAAACAATACCGCCACCCCAAAATTCTTACCATTATTGCTCAAAAATATTGTTGGACCCAGTTCCTATTTAGCCACTTGTGGATTAAAATGGAGACCGCATTCCTGCAAGCAAATAAAAGTAAAGGTTAAATTCTTTAAAAAGTCAAACACCATTGCTCTTCTTGTAGCAGTCTTTATGCTTCTCACATTTAGGGAAAAAATATACACCATCTCAGAGGATAAAACCTCATCACCAATCATGTTGCGTTTTCATATTTCTCTCCTCTCTCTGGTTCTTGAGAAAACCCAGAGATATCAATCAGTCTAAAGAATGCTTGATCATCAAAGAGTGGAGAAGCCGGATGTGAAGCCTCAGAATCCGACCTTACTCTGACTTCAGCTGAGGACTCCAATAACACTTTAGGGAACTCACGAGACTGTTCCTGGCTCTGTCTCGTCAATACCAGGGGAATTCTGGACACAGGGACATATGTGTCCCTCCTTCTGATGCCTTCTCTCCATAATGGTCGTCACCTGTTCCTGCTCTTGGAGCGTAATATCATATACGCCTCTCCCAGGAAAATCCTCAACGCAAAAGAGCCATTCCCTCAGTACCTTCAATAACTCTTCCAGAATCTCCTTCTGCACAGTGTAGAGACTCACAGCTCTCAGCTTCTCCTCGGCTACAACCACACGAATGGTTCACTGGTAGGATGGCGCACCACGCTCCATCCGGAGACCGCTTCCCGTTTCCAGTGTCAGCTCAGATCGCCCCCCAATAGCAGCAATCGAACCACGTCTCCACAGGGAAGACGCAGCCAGAAGGCCGAGGGGCTAGCATCGCCAATCCACTGGAACCTCCTAGCAAGATAAGCATACACTTGATCTTGGCTAAAAGGCCGAGAAGAGATAACCAGAATGGGTGCCCAGCTACTCACCTGCCATTTGCTTGGGCTTCTTCAGCTTGCGGTGAGCCTTGGGCACAGTACCACCTCTCATCTAGGTGTAAGCTGGCTACAAATAGCAACAGACACAGTCACAGCACACAACCTCTAAGCCCTTGAAACACCTCTCCCCTTCTTAACCTTGTCCACTCCTCTATATGCTCCCTTCCACACATACCTTGCACCTATCTCTCTCTCTCTCTCTCTCTCCAGCTGCTACCGCTGATGTGCCTAACGAGGCTGCTGGATCACCTGGTCTGTTACTCTTCAGCTGCAAGTAGGGTAGATTGAGCAACCAGCAGGTGCTTAATTGCTTGCTCTATCACTCAATGATTCAATTAATTAAACCCTTAATTGGTTACTTAGATGTTGCTCAACTTTCCCTCCAAAATGTTAGTGCTGTAATTTCAAAGACCAGCAGGCTGCAGCAAATTTGCATAATACCGCCCACTTTTCAACATTGATAATGCACACTGCCAGCCAGCCAACAGAGTCCACCTGGATATAAATATTCTGACTTCACAATGGATGTACTTGACACATTTATTCAATGAAGTTATTACACAGATTTACATAACAATGAATACACGGGATCAGGTGAACAGAATTGAATCTTGCACACATAGCACATGATAGATAATAACAAAATGGATAAGCTATCTGTTACGGTACCTCCAGTAATGTGCAAACCGCCGTTTAGTGAATGCTCCCCGTTCGCAATAATGTAGCCTGGTAGCGTATGCAGTATAATCATGCGAACCGCCAGCTGGGGAACACTCCAAACTCCCGAACGGTACCTGTATGGCTCTTTCCCTTCACGAACTCCAAATCCACGAACTGACAATATTAGCCGAACGCCAATATCTTCCAAGCGGCAAATAATCCAAATAAGCAGTCTCTAGTCGCCGGTAAAATCCCCCCCCCCAATAACGAGACCAAGCTCCGCTTTGAAGGTAAAACACGAACTGATTTACTGTGGGCTACCTGCCCGGTATTTATGCAGGTCTCCCACTTGGTGGACACTCCCCTAGGGGACCAAATGGGAGACTGGAATTACAGAAAGACATGGGGACATTTTGGACATACATCCCCACAATATTCCCAGCATGTATCACAGTTCCCTCCCCTCTGCTCGGGGGATAATTGGGAAGTAATTCAATTATCTCCCAGAGCAGAGGCAAATCGCCATTTTAAGTACAAGTCATAAAACACATAAAAATACATAACTTTATAACTGCCGAACATATTGCATTCGTGTAACACATCCCCAGATAGCCTGGATCTGAGTGCATATTATTGGCGAATAGCGCTCAGATCCCATTCGCATAGTTCAATCGCCATGGAGTCAAAGTCTGTTACAGTTCTTCGGTATGCGATTGACTCATTGACTCCATGGGACGGCTATCTGGGTTAAGTCCATTCGTGTTGTTGGATCTCCCGAACGGCCGGTATTCGTATGCTTTTGTCGATTGAGAAGGGGAGGTCGACGGCTTCAGCGGTGTTCGGTTGAAAAAGTGTCCGTTTTCAGATCCATGAAATAATCGTCGAACACCGCTGGTCTTTCGCATGGTTAAAATGGCCGCCGCCTCGTGGTCGACATACGAACGACGACCACCCGGCATTCGGTTTTAATTGAGAAGTGTCTGTGGTTAACCGCAACGTTCTAATTGGGATCAATAGGTTAACCAGCAGCACACTTCTCTTCTGGGTGGCCGTTCGTTCGGTATTTCAGTTCGACAAAACCAGACATTCCCTAAAACAAAGCATACGAATGGGAGAATTCATGCAAACGGCAAAACAGGCGAACACAGTACTTTTAGTCCAGACAGATGGGTCTGTCACACTATCCAAATGAAATAACAGTTAACAAACATTGCTACAAGTGTCCATAATTGCAAGGAATGTTTTGGGTCGGTCCGTCCGGGCTTCATTCAGGCATGCCGCAGAAAGGGGGATGCATAGATCGCACTTATGACAGAGAAAGCAGGGAAGGAGGGAGAACAAGTTGGCCTTCATTTTCAGGTTACCTGCATTTCTTTGCCACCAAGTGAGAGTCCAGTGGCTTGCTTTTTCTTTTTCGATTCTATTTTTTTAACCAGCATAAGAGAGGTGCACCGGTCCTGGGGGTACTGCAATACCAGGTCAATGCATGGAGTGGACAGAGCAAGCTCTTCTTCCATCTCCCTGTCCCAAAAATCCATTTAATATATGGTCCCCAGATAGGGGACATATCGGATGTTTTTTTGACCACTCAGTCCCAGAGTCTTTCCTCCAGTTGAAATTCAAGGAGCCTCTCAATAACATCATCATGATCTCTTGCAATAAAATAATAATAAAAAAAATGTAGACATCACACAAAATCACAGCAAACCAAAATCCCACCACCACCCTCAAAGCACAGCAAACCACCCACCCACCAAAAATCTTCACTGCAAACAAATTAAAAAAAAATCCTAACCACAGACATCCCCCCATTCATACTTACTCCATTTTTATTTTTCATATATACATATGTACACAAAAACCGCACACCCCACCACCCAATGTTACCTATACCCACCTCAGTTGTTCCTTTTTAACAATTTATACATATTCAATTACTTAACCACAATTTTTACTATAATCAATTTTTTTCTCTCAATATTACAAATCAATTACCCACCACCTACATCATCTCTACGCACACCATTTCCTCCACTTCTTAGTTTTCCACACACCCTCAGCATCAATTTCATTCTTCCTCCTAACATCCCTTAGATAGTATAAGTACACTTTACCTCTCACCATATGAATACATGCATCTACAGATAAATATTAATTTTTAAACACCACCAAGTTTCTCACATCCCATAATGTTTCTTTTATACATGACATAACAATCCACAACACTCTCTTTCTCCAACTTACATAAACCAAAAAGTAAAACCTCAAACGAAAAAATAGGAATCCCAGTCAACCCAACCACAAATTTCAACAATTTTTTATTTGTAACGGACCGTTTAGCATAAAAGGGGAAAAAACCACTTAGACGATAATCCCCCTTTTAAGAGACAGGCACAGCTACTGTAGAATCACCAAAACTCACGAACCGCCAATAAGTGAATGCTCCAAACTCCCGAACGGCATACAAGGGAATAAGGTAGCACTTCAAATAAACGAACAGGAACCATACGAATAGCTGCTAGCAGGCGAACAGGAAAAGCTTCCAAGCGGCTTACACTCCTGGCAATCAGTCCTTAGCAGCATACAGTAAATCCCCCCAAAGACGAGACAAGGCTCCGTGTTGAGGGTCAAGCAGTGGTCTGTTTAATGAGGGCTACCTGCCCAGCTTTTATGCAGGTCTCCCACCTGGTGGACACTCCCCTAGGGGACCAGATGGAAGACTGTGACAAGGGACAGACAAGTATACAAATAGGACACACAGTCACAGTATATTCCCACAATGCATCCTGGCTTCCTCCCCTCTGCCCTGGGAGATAATTGGGAAGTAATCAATTATCTCCCAAGACAAAGGCAAAACTCCATTACACACGTGGGAACACAAAACCAGCATAACACTTTAAAATGCACAAAGTAACATTTACTACATAAACCACAGACATGTAACATATCCCCAGATAGCTCAGGTCTGAGTGCACATTATTAGGTGAATGGCACTCAGACTACACGAATACAGTTCAATCGCCATGGAGCCAAAGTCTTTACAGTCAGTTTCATACGAATGGGCTCCCTATCTGGGGTATAAGACATTCACACAAAAATACCGAACACCGGGTCATTCGTGTGCTTTCACCGAACAAGAAGGGAGGTCGGCGGCTTCAGCGGTGTTCGCGCAAAACTGTGTCCGATTTTAGTTCCATAAAAATAGAGGCGAACACCGCTGTTCATTCGTATGGTTTAAAATGGCCGCGACCTCGTGTTCGGGATACGAACGGCGGCCACCCAGCGTTCATCAATTAAGCTGCGGTTAACCGCAGCTTCAGGGAGGTTAATTGCCGGCACACTCCAGCTCCCAGGTGGTCCAGTCATTCGTACGGTTGTTCGGTAGATTGAAACTACCGAACAACCGGCAGAAAAGCACGAATACAGCTTTTCTGCATGGAAAAATAAAGTCTTTTAAAAGGGGGCCATAGTCCAAAGGCAGCAGGCGAGCAACCAGGCTTCTCCAATGCAATGTGGCGAGATTGGTCTCGTCACATCTCTCCCCTTTTCCAAACAGACTAACAGGGTATCTGACCTCCTGCCGGTCAGTGCCCTTGTTAGTCCAGCAGCCCACCCACAACAAATAATAAACAGCACAGCCCACCCACAATAAATGGTTACTACACCTGGGTAAAGGAGAAGCTTGTCCATGTCCAGGTGCCTCATCACGGCTGTGCTGGGTACAGGTACGCTGACTTGGTGGGTTGCTGCGTGGGCAGAGACCAGCGGCACTCTGCCCTGTTGCCAGCGCTACTGGGAGGGTAGCCTGGTGGAAACCTGGTTGTTGGAGGGGGAGACCGACTGTCTCCCCTTTAAATACACCGCTCTGCTGCTGCTGCTGGAGACTGACTGTCTCCCCTTTAGATGCACAGTCCTGCTGCTGGAGACCGACCGTCTCCCCTTTGGTTACCCATCTCTGCTGCTGGAGGGGGAGAACGATTGTCTCCCCTTTGGCTAAACAGCCCTGTCGCTGGGGGGCAGGACCGACCGTCCCTACCCCCTGTGCTGGCAGTGTAGAGACTACGGTCCCATCTGCACAGTTGTGGGGCTTACTGTCTCCCCTTTGTACATTAAGCTGCCGCTGGGGAGAGGGAGTAACAAGCTCCTCTCCCATACATACTTCCAGCTGCGGGGGAGGGAGACCGACTGTCTCTGCTCCCAATACAGAGTCCTGCTGCTGGGGAAAGGAGACTGGGCTCTCTATTCCCGGTAGGACACTCTGCCGCTGGGGAATGGAGACTGGGCTCCCAATTCCCAATCAATCTGTGCTGCCGCTGGGGAATGGAGACTGGGCTCCCAATTCCCAAAAAATCACGCTGCCGCTGGGGAGGGAGGACACTGCTCTCCTCTCCCTGCACTTCACACTGCCTTCCCGGCATATCACTTGGCTGCTGGAGGGCAGGAACAACTACCTCTGCCCCCTGTAACTCAGCCTGCCGCTGGGGAGGGAGGACGCTGCTCTCCTCTCCCTGCACTTTACACTGCCTTCCCGGCATATCACTCTGCTGCTGGGGGCAGGAACAACTACCTCTGCCCCCTGTAACTCAGCCTGCCGCTGGGGAGGGAGGACGCTGGCAGCACTGGGCTGGGCTCCCAATTCCCGGCATATCACACTGCCGCTGGGGAATGGAGACTGGGCTCCCAATTCCCTGCAGGACCGGTGGAGAGACCTCGGTCCCATCTCTACCGGCCACCTGGGGTTCTTCCCAGAAAATATCAACAATGTCTTCCCAGCTGAATGGGTCTGGAACTGGATCTGTCACCTTGCTGTCCTGCTGAATCTTCTCAATGGAGTGGAAGAGATCTCGGTAGTCCTGCTCCAGTTCCCACTCCAGGGTTGCTAGGTGAGCCAGGTCTTGCTCAATGTCGTGAGTGTCGTCCCAGTCATACCTGCTCTCCCTCCACTCCAAGATCACTGAACCGGGCTTGTGTAGGGCTCCCAAGGCTCTGAAAAAGCCTCCCATAACAAGCCAGGACCATCAAACTCCTCTCCCTCTGGCTTGTCATGCTCGGCTGTCCAGGGCAGGTACTGTGCCCCATACCACCAGAGCGCCTGGTAGGCATCTTCCAGCCAAATCTCCTGCCATACCCGGTGCTCCAATTCCTTCACCCATTCATCCAGGTGCTGCTCTCCCAGGAAGGGCAACCGCAGGGCCACTTGCTTCTGTAACCACTGCTCTTCACTGGGGAGACTCTCACCCCGCTGGTACTGTACATTATCCAGGGCCTGGTACCAGATGCCTTTCCTTAATGCATCCCGGCCATCCAGGTCCTCCTCCTCGTATGACACTGCTGGTTCCATGCTGTTGCTGTCAGGGTCGCTGTACTCAGACATGCGTTGCCCTCAAATTGTAAATCCACGGAATGGTGTTGCCTGTAGCTGTCCTGTAGTCCGTGGGAACGATCCCGCCGCTTGCCACCAATTGTAACGGACCGTTTTGCACAAAAGGGGAAAATAAAACGCTTAGACGATAATCCCCCTTTTAGAGACAGGCACAGCTACTGTAGAATCACCCAAAACTCACGAACTGAATACAAGTGAATGCTCCAAACTCCCGAACGGCATACAAGGGAATGCTCCAAACACTCGAACTGCATAAAAGGGAATGGTCCAAACACTCGAACTGCATACAAGTGAATGCTCCAAACTCCCGAACGGCATACAAGGGAATAAGGTAGCACTCCAAATACACGAACAGGAACCATACGAATTGCTGCTACCAGACGAACAGGAAAAGCTCCCAAGCGGCTTACACTCCTGGCAATCAGTCCTTAGCAGCATACAGTAAATCCCCCCAAAGACGAGACAAGGCTCCGTGTTGAGGGTCAAGCAGTGGTCTGTTTAATGAGGGCTACCTGCCCAGGCTTTTATGCAGGTCTCCCACCTGGTGGACACTCCCCTAGGGGACCAGATGGGAGACTGTGACAAGGGACAGACAAGTATACAAATAGGACACACAGTCACATTATATTCCCACAATGCATCCTGGCTTCCTCCCCTCTGCCCTGGGAGATAATTGGGAAGTAACTCAATTATCTCCCAAGACCAAGGCAAAACTCCATTACACACGTGGGAACACAAAACCAGCATAATACTTTAAAATGCACAAAGTAACATTTACTACATAAAACACAGACATGTAACATATCCCCAGATAGCTCAGGTCTGAGTGCACATTATTAGGTGAATGGCACTCAGACCACACGAATGCAGTTTAATCGCCATGGAGCCAAAGTCCTTACAGTCAGTTTCATACGAATGGGCTCCATGGGATTCCTATCTGGGGTATAAGACATTCACACAAAAATACCGAACACCGGGTCATTCGTGTGCTTTCACCGAACAAGAAGGGAGGTCGGCGGCTTCAGCGGTGTTCGCGCAAAACTGTGTCCGATTTTAGTTCCATGAAAATAGAGGCGAACACCGCTGTTCATTCGTATGGTTTAAAATGGCCGCGACCTCGTGTTCGGGATACGAACGGCGGCCACCCAGCGTTCATCAATTAAGCTGCGGTTAACCGCAGC